TCGGGTACAAGCGCAAGAAAGACACCTACCGGCAGCTCTCTTACGCCCAGACGCTGAAGAGCGTCGAATGCCAGAGCGTTGAAGCCACGATCCGACAACGACGCCTACTGTTCGCGGGATCATTGGCAAGGTAGCCGGACGGGCGACTCCCGAAACGACTGATGTTCGGCGAACTGGCAGGGGGGGAGAAGCGACGTAGGGGGGGACAGGAACAGAACTGGCCGAAGTGTGTGCTCGACGACCTGAAGGCATTCGAGACCGGCCACGGATCTACGAGAACCGATCCATGTTGTCTCAGAATCCCGGTACCGAAAGACACGGCACCGAAGTTAAAGTGGACTGAAGCCGCGAAGGTGAAGGGGGGAGCACCCTGGCATGCGGCAGTGCTGCGGGGAGCTGATAGGTTCATGACCTCCTGGCACGAGAAGGAAGAAGAGGCCGGCCGACAACGGGCGCTCAAACGAAACCACAAGCCAACAAGCAGTGGGGCGGGAGGGGGGCAGGAGACGGACGAGACGGCGAGGGAAGAAAGCAAACGAGAAGAGATACAATGTATCGCTGGTTGGTGGCCATGTTTGCGTGTTTGCTTGTTCGTGAGCGGTCTCTCCATCGTGTGCCTTTTCCTGTCTCTTTTTTCTTGTTATTTCCGGCCTGGTCCCCTTTTGTCCTCGCTCTTTTTCATTCTATTTTCTCCTTGCTTACTGTTTGTTTCCTTGTATTTTCTTCTCTTTTTCTCTGTTGTCTTTTTTTCCTCTCTTTTTCCGTGCCAGATGGCCTTGTCTCTGCTTGCGTTGTGAAGTACCAAGATTGAACCAAGGGGGTGTACCTCTTTCTCTCCGGCCCGTGATGGTGACTCCTAGTCTCAGTTGTTACCTCGCATAGCGCGCAGAGGGAGTGGAGGACTCCAGAATATTTGTCGTTGATTTCTATTAACTTACGGACCCCTCGGGCCAGTTTATTTGAGTGTACCTTTTTAGGGTAAGTTAGCCTGCGACCACAGGAATCGACCACGTCGAGTGTTGGATCAGTACGGACATACGAAGGTACTGGGTGGAGAGAGGTCGGAACGTTTTTTATTGTGAAGACAACATCAACAACAACCGGGGCGACCAGCTGTATAGAGCACAGACAGCGTATGACTCACGGTTGAGCTGTGTTTTGGTCGATTTTTCCTGATTATCGCCCAAATTTGAGCCGTGGTTTCATGAAATTTTCTTTCAGGTCGCTGTTACAGTACGCGTCGGCAATGTATGCACTATTCGTAGTGCTGTGAGCGCTGATTTGAAGTGAAAAAAAAATGAATATACAACAACGAAGAATGAAATTGAGCCTCGACCACACAGAGCGGGTGCTAAGCTGCTCGGAGCCAGCTTCGAGGAGGCGACCGAACGTTTGGAGCAGAAGTGCAATCCGTTGTCTGAGAATGCTACATAGTAAGGGGACATGCCTAATCAGGCCTTGATGACGAAAACATCGACTCTACATGACGATGTAGGTATCCTTTTTTGCGAACCACGTCTCTGAGGAACAGCATGTAGATATTTCATCTGCATAAAGAACCCCAGATGCTTTATAAAAGTCTGGAAACAGGTAACTTCTTATACTGTAGCAAAAGTTTGCAATGTACCGTAATTAGCAGACATGAAGGAAAATGTTTTTTATTAAACCTAATTGAAATATTAGGAAGATCTAAATATAACGGGCTTACTATAACCTGAAGAAAAAATAAGTTTTCCTTTTCTCTAGGCTACAAATGTTGTTGACACCTGATGGTTATGGATCAAGGCCTCAAAATGTTGTGGCCGCAGTTCAACGCGAAGCTCATGTACCACATACGCTATCACTCTGTCACACTCTGTCACACTCTGTCACACTCTGTCACACTCTGTCACACTCTGTCAAGGAGCACGGTTTTCTGCGCGCCCGTTTGTCTAGAGATCTTCGCCCAGACTAATGTATCCACGCACTGGTGTCACGTGCATGTGCATCAAACGTTAGTCTACATGGTAGACTAGATATTTGAAATGGTTTCGCGCTCACTGACCACATTGCCTACTTTCACGAAAGAGTTTAGGTGATTCTTTCGAAGAACCTCGAGGAGTCGTGCATGCGTGCACACTTTCAATGCGGACACGGGGTAGAGGAGGGGGACTGCGCTACGCGGTTGTCTGTTGCCGCTGGCCGCTTGTGTCGGAGATGGGGGGGCAGACGATGCGATTTGTTACCTTGTATTAAAACATCTCAGACTCAATCTACGGCGCCCCCATAGCTAGAGCGCTCCAGCAGTGGGATAGTGAGAGGTGCCACATACGCGCACCAACAACGCCAACACGCGTGTCGGGCACGCTTCGTTGCCTGCCATGAGCCTGTGTTGTTGGATGGCTGCTACATGGGCATGTAAGTACTGAGATGGCGGAGCCAACGTCAACGGTCGAAGCGGCAGCCGAGAACATCAAATAGCAACGGCGGTAGCGGGACAGCAGAGCGAGCGCTAGGATCTACTGCTGCTGTTGATACTGCAGGGATTGGAAAGAGGAGCGAGGTGCGAGGTTAGTTGTTGGCGCGTGGTTGTATGTTGGCAGAGCTTGGTGCTCCTGAGCTGACTTTTGAAATGGATCGGTTCCGCCTGGTGTCTCTATTTGCCGTTACGGCAGTTTGAAATCGCACCTTTTCAGCAAAGAGAGAAAGCTCTACTCTTATCTGTAATCAGTGTCTCCGCAAGCAGCGATCCCTAGCGATGCACTGTTGTTGTCCTTCACCTCCAGACGAGCCGTTATTCTCCAATGATGAGCACGGCACACAATCCTACGAGTCATCCAATACATGCCAATTCTTGTCGGCGCGCCGGTGTCTTTACAGCAGGGATTTGCAGCAGGCGACGCCCATGGTTGAAGATGAGAGGCTTGCGGAAGGTGCTCGGCAGCCGGAGCAATCACCGCACGCCGACTTCGCTGCCCAGCAGCGACACCTCCAGCGCCTCGTGATGTCGCTCGATGCCACGCTTGGCTCCCTCCTGACCCCACAGCAGTCCAAGCTGCAGCGCCCATCTTCTACGCCACACCGTAGATCATCGCCAGCAAGCAAGACCGGCAAAGGCAGTGCAGTAGAGGGTGCTCCCGCTACTGTTGCGGCGTCTCCACGCAGCAGCGGTGCTACCGGAAGCGCCAACAACGCCCCACAGATCACACCAGAGAGCGCGGTAGCCTTGGCGGCCGAAGCCCTCGCGGCCGTCAAGGCCTCACTCGCGCTCGCACAGCACGAGCACCGGCCGAGCCCCGCAAACGGCAAGGACGACAGCGCGAGGAACAGGGACCGCGGCGGTGGCGGAGGTGGGCGAGAGCTGCGAGTGGCGCTCGCTCGCACGATAGGGGCGCTGAGGAATGCCTGCGTCGGCGCCGCCAGCTCAACGGCCGAGCTGCTCGGAGGCGAAGATCCCACGGGTTTTGCCCAGGTGGGTGGTGGCATCAGATGGTGATTTGGCGAGTTGTTGACGTCTCTCAGGTGTGCGATTATCTCAGGTGGGAGATCATCTTAGATGTTGATTTGGCGAGTTGTTGTAGTCTTGCCTCACGCGAATACCAATGTGTGGTAGCTATGAGTAGGCTCGTGCATAGTTGTCAAACTCCCTTGCAGCCTGACCTCCAAGTCCGAGTCCATGAATATTTAGACGAGGGAGGGGATATGATACGTGGTACCAGGTACTGTTTTTTTTTGTCGTATCCCATGGGGGTGGACGAGATGACAAGCTGCGACGCCGCCACTATACTTCTCCCCCACCAGCCACCGCCCGCTTCTCGAAGCCGACGGGAGCGCTTTGCACGCCAGATAATCCCATCAATACGCTATCTCCGTTGATCGATCGCGCTCCCCTACCTATCTCGTCGCCCAGGAGGTGAGAGCGCTCGCCAACGCCCACGAGAAGGAGCTGGAGCAAGCATTGGTGGAAGATAAGGAGGGTCAGCTAGGCGCTCCTACTGCTGCTGCTGCTGCTGCTGCTGCTGCTGCTGCTGCTGCTGGAGGGAATGGCGGCGACGTGGTGCCCGTTGCATCTTCCGGGCCTGCGGTGGCGGTAGGCCTGGAGTTCTGGTCTCGGCAGAGCGACCTGTGGAGCGGGGTCTTCACCGAGCAGCAGACGGGGCTGCTGCAGATGGTCCGGGCTCAGGAGGCTGAGCTGCGGCAGGGAAAGCGGCGGATTTCCTCTCTCGAGCAGGAGCTGGCCGCCCTCGACGAAAAACGCAAGGAAATCGTAGCCGCCGCTGCCGCTGCGACGGCAAACGCCTCCGCTGCCGGTAAGGAGGGGAGGAAGGGCGGCAGCAACCGGGATGAGGGCCACGCCGACCGTTCCCTGAAGGAGTCTGAGGTCAACGACTGGCGGAGGCGGCTGGAGAGAATGCAAGCGGAGCACGAGAGACGGCTGTCCGCGGTGCAGGAGCGGGAGGCGGCGGTGCAGGCGGCGGAGCTGAGGGTGGAGGGCCGCGCGAGGGAGCTGGGGTCGGAGCGGGACCGGCTCGCGGCGGGGGCCGTGGCTCTGTCCGCTGAGGCGGACGGCTTGAGGTGCGATGCGGAAGATATCACACCCCTAAGGCTCAATTGCTTCGCAGCAGAACGAGTGGCGGTCGCGCGCGGCGTTGGGACCGTCTCGTCGAGAGAGGACTTCTCGAATTGGGTCGTTGTATTTGCGCAACCTCTTCTGTCGTTGAGCTTTGAAAGTCGGGCCGGGTGTATGCTGCCTTGCAAGTCACATACGGTAGTCTATTTCCGGGTGACAAGTCTACGCTGCCCTGAGGTAGCCCCAAGCTTGTTTCTGTGTCCCAATAGGCTGTGAGCGGAGAGTTGCACTCTGTGAAGGGGGTTGCTTTATTGCTCTATACAAGCTGGTATTACCACCCCCAAGCGCTCAAGGTTTAATCGTTCTGCATATCTGTGTGGGATTCGGCCCTGTGGCGATGGCTGTTTGTTGTTTTGTTCTCGCTCTCTCTCTCGCTCTCTCTCTCTCTCTCTCTCTCTCTCTCTCTCTCTGTGTGTGTGTGTGTGTGTGTGTCTGGCTGTCTGGCTGGCTGTCTCTCTCTGTACCCCCATACCTGCCATATGTGGACGTTTTGTAGACATGTAGACATCCGTGGTGCGCCTGGAGTCGTTTCCCGCCCGCCCCTCAATCTTACGTTGGTGTCTCGCCGTCTCATCCTTTATTCGTAGCCTGACTTGCGATTCACTCTGTGCGATCTCGAAACGTTGCTGGTAAGGGCGGGAGCGAAGGACGCAGCTGAGCGGGAACGCAAGCTGGCCTTGTGGCAAGCCGGGCTGGACAAGAGAGAGCTCGCTGCGGAAGACGTACGTGAGCGGTCGAGGCACCTGGAAGAGATGGAGAGACAGGTACGTACAGGTTACGGTTACAGTTAGTGCTGGTGTTGGACCAACGATATTCTTGCGAATCCTCGCCTCAGCTCCGATAACCGTGTTTCTCAAGATATCGACTTCCTGCATATGGGGACGGTACGCGTCAAGTGCCTTGCTTGAATACTGAGTCCAAGTTTTTTTTTCAAAGAAAAACATGCTCGTGGTGATGCTGATGCAGCAATACATGGCGAGCCCGTTCGTTCCAGCTTCAAAAACAGAGTCTCTCAAACTATCGACTTCGGGCAGACGGGGGACGATACACACCAATTGTCGTGCTTGAGTACTGAGTCGAAAATTCCATGCAGTTTTCGAGGGCTCGCGGCACAAACCTGGGTAACGGCCGGCCGCGAAACGTCGGTGTCGCTGCTGTTGTTGGTGGGCTTCTTGCTGTTGCAATTACCATTTTTTTTTTGTCGGTAAGGATGAAACTTGTGGTACTGTGTTTTGCTCGTGTTGCTGGTATCTCTTGGCGGCGGTGGAGACATGCGGTACTGCCGTCGTTGAGTCTACTAGCAGCCGCGGGAGCATTAACGTCCGTGCGCTTGATATTTCCAAGTGAGGTGTGAGGGGGCGATTGAGGTATTTTCAGAGCAATATTGTTAGTGGTGGTGCTGTTTGTGCTGCGGTGTTCCACCGTTGTGCTGCGGTGTTCCACCGTTGAGCTGCGGTGTTCCACCGTTGCAATTCACAATTCACGCTACGTCTAGATGGGAACAATCTGTCCAAAAGTAACGGCCGAAGGACAACCTGCTCAATCTGATTGTTGCTGGCAGATGCTCGTTTTTCACCCATCTGGAAACGCTACGGAATAGTCTATATCTGGAAAGGAAATTTTTGCCTCTGTTGGTGTTGCGAAAGCAATCTGTGCATGTTCAACTGGGTCTGATGGTGCTGTTGGGTGCCTCTCAACTTGTATCGTAGCTCCTTTGCAGAGGGTAGCAGCAAGGATCCGTTCTTGGATTTCGGGTGGAAAAAACGTCGACTCCAAGTCTCTTCGCACCCCTGGGGTAACCAGGGTGCATCGGACCTTCTGGAAACTGTGCGCAATATGTGGCATGCCATTCGATACCTTAGTGCCATCACGCCCCTTTGTTGGCGATGCTGTTGACGACGATGTTAGCGTTGTTTTCTAGAAAAGCAGGGGCAGTTAGCGACGATACAGCAACCACCCTTTGTGCTTAACGAACCGCTTGCAATTGTTTGGCAATAAAACGCGTGCTGTACGGCATTGCCCTCAGGTGATTGTCGGGTGCCAAGTACAACCAAAGAAGATCACGTCTCTCGCGACGTGATGGATCAAAGCACCAGAAAAAACGGGTGCCCACAACCCTGCTCGTTGAAATACCCAGGGCTGAGCATTTGGACGTTTTTCTCCTTGCGGTGCCCCCGGTCGATCGAAAACGTGTCGCTGTGCCGCAGGCGAAGGAACGCGAGCACGAGGCAAAGGAAAGCCTCTTGCTGCTGGAGGAGCAGCTGTCGGTCAAGGAGAAGACGCTCGCTATCGTAGAGGCCGACCTAGAAAAGGTGAGAGCGGATGTTGACGGCGGACACGATGATGCTGCAGCACGGGGGCTGGTAGTTGGAACGGTTCGATGTAGAAGGAGTGATGTAGACGGCAGACACGATGACGCTGCAGCATAGGGGCTGGCTATTGCAACGGTTCGGGTGTAGAACCTACACCCGGCAAAAGGAGGTACCCGAAGGAGAAGGTTAGCGTGGCTCGTTAGCCGGCAGGATTGGGGGCAGGCCGAGAAACGATGGAAGCCAAGCACGTCTGTGGGTCACGGAGCGGATACCGTGTCGGAAGGTTACCATGGAACGGTTCGAGCTATGCCATAGTTGTGGTGTTTGTGCATCTAGTCTACGACACCGCTCGTGAGCTAGCTGGGAGCCCCTGCAAACTTCTCACGAAGGAGGGCAGCTCTCCCGACTAACACAGGAAAAAAAGAGGCGAAAGGTGCAGGGTATGCGTGACTCCCTGCGATGGAAAGGTTCACTGGAAAGGTTGCGGCTCCATGGTGACGTCCGACTACTATCTATGACCGTAATACCGGGTGTCGGTGTCACCCGTGTCGACGCTTACTTTCGTGGTAATTCCGTGTGTCGATTCCGTGGTAATTCCGTGGTGCAATTCCAGGCCCGGCGGGAGATCGCCGAGCGTGAGGAGGCGGTGCAACGGGACCGGCGAGAAGCCTACAGCAAGGTGCAGGACGAGTCGAGGCTGGAGAAGGAGCGGCTTGACAAGGAGGTAGCGAGACTGAGGCAGGAGGAGCGTAGGCTCGACGGTCTTAACCGCGAGCTGGACGAAAAGACCCTCCAGGTACGGTCGCCATGCCCGCTTCAAAGCCGCTCAGGGAAAGTGCACTCCCTGCGTAAATATGTATAGATCGACGACATTTGTGTTCAGACCATGACGCCCCGTGATTTCACAATAGTATGGGGGGGGAGTGAAACCTTCAAGAATGTCTCGCCGCGAAAAAGACGCTTTGTAATCGAAACACGCGCGCGTTTTGAGAGTTCTGGTGCCGTGCCGGGCTGCTGTAGCTGACGACGCGGACCGACGGCGGTGCGTGGTCGAAAGCGACTGGTCGAAAGCAACTGGTCGAAAGCGACTGAGTAATTGTCGCGAGGTTGACGGCAGGCTTGACGACGTAGCGAAAATGTCGGGGGTCCGACGACCTACAGCACTTTGCTCTACCGGTGATGAAAACGGGCCAAGCCTACGGGGTGGAGAATGTCATATGTAGTTTCCCGACGCACTGAGTGAGTTGGGCTGGGTAGGGCCAGCAGCAGCGGCGTGAGAACCTACCCCACGGCAATGCTGTGTATCCCGCAAACTCCTTCCGAGGAGGGCACAAGACTGACGTGTTTTAACATGGGTCAGCCGGATAGCGCTATCGATGCCAACAGCATAGACACACACAAGCACGTCTAATCACCCACGGCCCACCCTCACCTATCCTTCACTCCGTGGACTCCCCACCTGTTACCCTTCTCCCACGCACTCCCCACGAATACCTCACGGCGCTTCGCGCTTGGTGATTTGAGAGCCTGGTCCGGTGAGAACTCGGCGTGCTCCGTCCCGGCTTTGTAGGGATGCGAGGTCAATGGTCTAACGACGACGACATGCACGACTATGGTGTTTGCCATCGGGATTGGGTTTTCGTCGCTTGGCAACGACGTTGTAAAACAAGCCG